CTAATTCGTGCAGTATTTTAAAGTATATTTTTCCTTTTAGTAAAGAGAAAAAAACTCACGTAAAAAATACGTATTTTTTACGTGAGTTTTCGTAAATATTTACCTACAAATATATACTTATTTCCGCTTTTGTCATCTAAAATGCGTAAATAAATATATTGGATATTTTCTCAGAGATTTATTTTAGAAATATTTGAACCAAGCGATAACACCTTCCTGCTAAAATAAATAATCTGATCCCGAAAAATTCAGAGAATTATATATAAATTTTGTAAAATATGTACTCATTTTTTTAGATTTCGGTATTTGATAAATATTAACTGTTTAGATATTTCAGAGATGTTTCCTACATACATACATACATACCCGCCCTTTGATGCTACATGCATGATAACTATCCATACCTTGTATGTCAGTGGCTGGTCGTTTCGTGAAGGACTGCAAAATGACCCTGACCTTATCGGAGAAACGCTGGTGAAACTGTTGAACTGCGTGGGTGGCATCTTGACCTATTTTAATTAATTAATTAATTGTACATAGTTCGAATTTTGATTTAATTGGTTTTGAATCAACTAATTGATTACCATGTTCTACATAGTATTCGATAATCGAGCCGCCGGGATGCTTCTTAATGAACTTGGTAACATCGTAGTAATGTCCTTCGTAAAGTATTTCTTTCACTAAGGAATCACCCCCAGGAAATTGAATTTGTGGTGGATTTGCGTTGGGGGCCATCTAAAAAGTAGTTTTTGCAACTGAACGTAGAAATCAAAATCATAATATTCAATTTTTTAGATATGTATGTTTACCCTAAAAAAATAAGGTTACCCATTTGACAAATTAACAAATACATTTTTGAACCCAGAATTAAAGCCTAGTACTCCGGATGGTTTTTTTCCCATGAAAAGATTAGCAAAAAACGAAACTACGGTAAAATCTTTTAATTGTCTTGAAAAAAGCACTAAAATATTTGACACATTTTGTAATGAAATTCCAGCAATTTAATACATAGCAAAGTATGTATATGCATGACGTTTCGCGTAAAAAAATCCGAAAAGAGTACTACGCTTCATAGATTAAAACCGCGATGTTTTACTATTCCATTTTTTGTCAAGGGTTCAAAGTACATATTCAAAACTTTCAATTTGGAAAATTGGCGATTTGTTTTCAAAAATGGTTCAAACTCAGAATTACGACGTGCGCCACATAACCTTGTAGCACAAAAATGACGCAGTTATAACAGGCTTAAGATAAATTTAGAATTCAGACTGCATTCCTTCTCAAAAGGGTGGCAGTATTTTTTTGCAGTTGTCAAAATTTTGCGATATATTTATCTATTTATGTAGCTACTCACCTTCACTTAAAGTATGGTAATTATGTATGCGGCAGAGCAAACTTTACCAAGTTTACTGAATTCTATTTATGTTGCATAAAATTCAGAGTAAACTTTACCCTTCATCAAGTTCACGTTAGTATGGATTTAGTTTAGAAAACGCAATATTGAATCCAGATTAATTATTTCGCACGGGTAACATTATTTTTATCCAGTGCTACTACTCCATTCCATTAAATAGTTTACGATACATGTATTGTGAGAAAGTTAACTCAACAAACGTATCTACTTTTTACTGAAGAACTTATCACGTGTAGTCTTAAAATTATATTTACATACATAATACCCCATATTTCTTGTAAAGCAACTTTACAAACCGTTTAAACATTAGTAGATTAACCGGACAAGACGCACGTCCCGAAGTAGCTTAAGTCTCACTTCACCTCACCCAACGCAGGAATACTGTAAATCATCTATAGGTTCAATTTCAGTAAAAAATCTCATTTTCCCCTGGCCACAATCTCCCCCCCCCTCGGGTGCGAAGTTGGGGATGTCAAACCACAAACATAAGTTCTTTCCCCTGGTGGGATGTGAATGATGCTGCAAACCGATCTCAATTATTTTGATTCATACCCTGCAGACGGACAGAAAGACAGACGGACAAACTCTTGACATAAAGTAGCTGAAGCTAAATTCTTAATAATTTGTACTTACCTAACGGGTAGATCACTCTACTAAATACATTTATTTTTGTGCATATTCTCCAGAAATCCAGCACGTGGATATTAAATACGCAGGTATAAGAGATTCGCTTAAGTTGAAGAATTACGATACCGTGGGAAAATTTACCAAGCAACGTTATATTAATTTATGTATTTCCTTAATGCTTTACTTAGAATCAGATTACGCCGGATTCAGCACTTATCCTTAGTAACTACTTTCGTACCGGACATTTTGCATATTTTCATTTCTTTTTCTTCAAAACATTTATCAAAAAAGAATCTCTAATTTATTTACATACTTAACATGCTTTGTTTATTACATGTTTAGGTATTTTTTCAAGACTTACATACATACATAAATATTTATTTAGATTAATTCCCACTATCTGAATATTGCGAAACATTGGATGGAAACGATATATACATACACACATTAAATATCATGCACAGCAAGTACATATACATAATTATTGGGTGTTTGTTTTTTCGACATTTTTTACACAAATTTGTAATAACTAGCACAAAATTAAAAGAAAATAGTAATTGCGTGATTACTATAAATTGTCGAAAGACTAATTAGCAATCTGTATCTAGTACACAAATTAGCTTCCAAGTTTTCACAGTTTTTGATCTATAGCTTTCCAAAGAGAAATCGGGACGAATTAAATCATCACCCTTTAGTTATTTTATATTATTTTACTACTACTATTTTACTACTACCGCTACTCTAAGAATCCACCTGCATACATAATCATGTAAATACTTTTGTAGCAAGTAAATATCTTTATCCACATTGGATTTGTTAAGCTCATTAAATAATCCGGAGATGGATGTTTACCGCAGAAATATAAATTTTCACACATTCCCACACTAATGAATTTTTTCAGACGTAAATATTTATCTGGAGCTTTCATGTCGTAGCAAATCTTCCAGAATAAAACTTTGAACAATTTTCCTGCAAATGTTTTTCCCAATTTTATTCACGAAAACTGGGTGTCAAATCTAAAATTAATCAGAATATCTCGATACATACGTACCCATTATTAGCTAACCCTGCGTAGCATGAGAGCTATTGAATTCCTCTTGTCCGTCCGTCTGTCTGTCTGTCCGTCTGTCTGTTAACGACCCTTTTGCATCAATTGATGCTAATTAAAATGTCCCTGGTCCATTTTTTCATAAATTAATAGCACCGTTGGTATCTGACAATCGGAAACACCAAATGATGCGAAAGAATTGGGGGCTTTGATGCATAACGCACCAATAATGCATACTACTCGGCGGATTTTATTAGACAATTTTGACATAAATTTTTCAAAATTATCGTTGATCGTTGGTAGGTAATTCTGCACCAGTGATGCACAATTTTTGGACTTTCCTCGATGCATAATAATTATTGATCTATTTTGTTTAATTTTTCTGCACCATTGGTGCAATATTGATAAACATTATTGATCTACTTTGTTGGATTTTTCTGCACCATTGGTGCATAATTGCAAACAAATTATGTATCTATTTTGTTGCATTTTTCTGCACCTTTGGGGCAGGTTATAACCAAACCATTATTACAGGGTGAGCTACTTCTAACGTTACTACGGTTTATTAATTTTAATATTCTGCCGACGGACGGACGGACGGACAGTCGTCTTGCCATAAAGTAGCCACTTATGCAGTACCTCTTGCATGTATAACATGTGGAAATCTGCATGTATGTACTTACGTTTCGTAAATAATAAAAAGTAAGATAAAAATCTGTTAAATAAAGTACATACAAGAAAAAAACCTGTTATTTACACGGTTGTATGAGCACATGGAATTTCCAACTTTTTAAAACCTGGGCATAATTTATTACTAACTAACAATGCGATGGTGTGAAGTGTAACCCTCCGATTTGGTTGAAATTTTAAAATTACGTGGTCCATCTCAATACAACCAACGTTTCTTCAGGCAATTTGTGCGATGGTTAGAACTTATCAAAATATTTGACGTCAAAGTTGAAAAATGGGCGATTTTTACCAAGCAGAAGAAGCAAACTCAACTTCCATTCTCTTCTCGTGCTAAAAATTGCAGGTTTTCCAACTTTAACCTGAAATATCTTGACAAATTATGACCATCGCACAAACTGCCTGAAGAAACGTTGGTTGTATAGACATGGACCACGTAATTTTAAAATTTCAACCAAATCGGAGGGTTACACTTCACACCATCGCATTATAAGATTGTACCCGGATCTGCATATTTACATACATATTTCAACAATTCTTATGTCCCTATTTGTATAAATACAGAGGTCAGCAAATAACTCGGTGCATACTCACATCCTCTGAAGAAATCCAGTCGGTGTTTATGAACAAGTTACACACTTTGGTGGAACACGTGTCGATAAAAAAATCACATGAATTTATTTCTAGAGGGTAAACTACATATTTACAAACATAAATGGGAATTCCATTGGTTTATGGGTAATAAACGGTGAGAAAATGTGGTCAATAATGTTGCCTCAATCTAGACAATGTTATAAGTACCGCATTAATTAACATATTTACACACTTCGGATTCAGAACTGCTCCCCTGCATATGTTTTACTTCGTTTTCCTTATGCGTATGTATGTACATATGAAGATACTTATCATCTGAAATTTACTTGAATTCGAGCCTAATGTAAGTACCTTCAGCTGGTTTATGCGAAGAATTTGTCCACCTGTCTGTCTGTCTGTCTGTCAGGAAAAAACCGGTCGAGAAATCGAGATTGGTTTACGGCATGATACATTTGTTTGACCCCGGGGAGAGGATTCAGGGGTCACTCGGGGTTGGTCCCAAAGGAGAGTAGTCTGGGGAAAAACGAGATTTGTACAGAAAAAGAATCCTTAAACCAAACCAAAGTGAAATTATATACCAATCGTTGGGGTAAAGAGAGGCTTCGACATGTTTATATTTAGATATACCACGATTCCTTTTATTAATCAGATAGATACATGCTTTTTTATTAAGCGTGCACATTCACATCAATTTTTATTACGTATGTAAATACATATTGACAGACATGATGGACACGACGTTAACTCATTTAACTTATCACACGATGAAAACATCAACATAATTTTATTTTATTTGCTATGAATATCTTTACCCCTCCACGGAGAGTAAGTTTAAAATGAACAGATTATTTACTAGTCAATTTTCAGAAATCCGTCTTCTTTCAGGATTCCTTTAATTGTTGTGAAACATCTCGCAAATTCTTGAACGACCTGTAGATAGCGTCTGTATATGAAAACACGTAATATTTAAGGCCATGTTTTTCCGCCAGTGCTCGAACCCTATCCTTGATTTGAGGATGGCGAAAATTTGGCATGGTTGGAAACAAGTGATGCTCCACTTGATAGTTTAAATATCCCATCCACCAATTGCACCAGGGTCGCTGTTCGATATCGGCCGTGTGCAGGAGCGAGTATTCCACCCAGTGTGTGATTTCTGCATAAAAAATACATATTTATTATGTAGTATGCAAATTACTGCATACAAGTAGAGTACCGAGAGAGTTTTTCAGGTCATTTGCTTTATAACATTTGCAATTTACTGCTTCACTGGAATTACATATGTTCTTGAATCTCACTACAAAGTGTACCAAATTGAAGGGTTTCTTCAAATCAATTGCAAAATCGTCGCACTAATTCTAAAACGACCTAAGTGAAGTAATTCTATCATTTTAAAAAGATCTAAGTGCACAATAAAGCTAGAAAATGACAATATAGAATTTTTTGAGGTAATAGCATTAAAATTTCATTGAATATTAACGGCGAATGCTTAATTTTAAGTGCTGGTCACCTAACATAACCTAGAAAATCCCGATTTTGCATGACATAATATATGGATGACCCCTAGGCACATAATTTTGTACTACTTACCTTCACTTAACGGTAGAAAAGTGTGTGACAGGGCAAAATGTGCAAACATAAAGATCGACCTATTCACAAACAAATCATTACATATATATTCCTCATTTTCACACCTTTAATTAAAAAATGTCAAATTACAAAGCCCAAGTTGATATCAGCCAGGGTAAAAATCCACAGTGATACAGGAGTAAATAGTAATGCCCAAAGAGGGCGAGGGCCTGCAGGTAGTCTCGATGTTTAATCACGTGTCTCGGATGAAGGTACAATTGCCAAGCAAAGGCTGCCAGCAGGGTGTCAATCGTCAAGTAAAAGTAAATCTGCAAAAAATTATATTAGGTATCGTCGAAATATTACGTCATCATTTTAGTGTATGGTTGGTCAGGTCTTCCTATCTTCCCCTTGTTAAAATGCATTATCCCTTAATATTTACATTGGGTGGGTGGGTGCTAAAATCGGTAATTTTTGATGACGTAATATATGGATGGCCCCTTAACGTGGATTTTAATAAATTTGAATAAGGTGACATCCATACATTACGCCATCAAAAATTCATTTTCCATTTTATTAGCGCCCACCCACCCAACGTAAACATTAAGGGATAGGGAATTTTATCAGGGGGAGATAGAAAGTCTTTCATAAACAACCCTCCCAAAAATACGATGACGTAATACATGGACGTTCCCAAAGTGCTACATTATCAATCAACTAGTCTCTTAAGCCCGCAAATGCGGGCTCTAAGCAAAACGATTTAGTCAGCGATACAAATGTCTGCTGAATAATTGTTACACATTTACATTCACACAGAGCAAAGGAGCGTGGACTTGATAGTCACGTTGTATAGCACGACGTTTAATAATAGAGTTCATCACGTTACGATTCTAACTTGTGTGACAACGAAAACCGTTCAGTCATGATTCTAAAGGGCGTGACCACGAAAAACGTTCAATCACGATTCTAAAGGGTGTGACAACAAAAAACGTTCTGTCGCGACTCTAAAAGGTGTGACAAACGTTCTGTCGCGCCTCTAGACTTCATCACGTTACGATTCTAACTTGTGTGACAACGAAAAACGTTCAGTCATGATTCTAAAGGGTGTGACCACGAAAAACGTTCGGTCACAACTCTGAAGGTTGTGACAACGAAAAACGTTCAATCCCGACTCTATGGTTGTTACCCCTAAAACGAAAAACGTTCAGTCACGACTCTAAAGTGTGCCATTTTTCTAACGTTTTGAAAACGTTTAGGCACTAAAAGCAAAAGCCCGCCCTCTAGCGCTGAAAAACAGCCAACATCCGATAGGTGGCGCTTGTAGGTAATTAAAATTAGTAGGGCACAGGTCAAGTGTCAACTACACCGTGGGGCACAGAGGTTACAGGTCAAGTGTCAAGTATAGTGGATGTGCCAAGGTAACAGGTCGAATGTCAAGTCTAGTGGGTGTGCCCAGCTAACAGGTCGAATGTCAAGTCTAGTGGGTGTGCCCAGGTCACAGGTCGCATGTCAAGTCTAGTGGGCATGCCCAGGTCACAAGTCAAATGTCAAGTCTATTGGGTGTGCCCAGGTCACAGGTCAAATGTCAAGTCTAGTGGGTGTGCCCAGGTAGCAGGTCGAATGTCAAGTCTAGTGGGTGTGCCCAGGTAACAGGTCGAATGTCAAGTCTAGTGGGTGTGCCCAGGTAACAGGTCGAATGTCAAGTCTAGTGGGTGTGCCCAGGTCACAGGTCGAATGTCAAGTCTAGTGGGTGTGCCCAGGTAGCAGGTCGAATGTCAAGTCTAGTGGGTGTGCCCAGGTAACAGGTCGAATGTCAAGTCTAGTGGGTGTGCCCAGGTAACAGGTCGAATGTCAAGTCTAGTGGGTGTGCCCAGGTCACAGGTCGAATGTCAAGTCTAGTGGGTGTGCCCAGGTCACAGGTCAAATATCAAGTCTAGTGGGTGTGCCCAGGTTACAGGTCAAATGTCAAGCCTAGTGGGTGTGCCCTGGTAACAGGTCGAATATCAAGTCTAGTGGATGTGCCCAGGTCACAGGTCAAATGTCAACTCTAGGGGGTGAGCCCGTTCATTTGATCAAGTCTCGGCAGATCCAAAGGGTGTGTTTCGTATTGGTCAACGTTTTGGAAACGTTTTGACACTTGTGCGAAAAACGCCCTCTAGAAGCGAAAAACGCCCTCTAGAAACTAAAAATGCAACATAGTGCTTAAACTGCCGCTAGGTGACGTTAGCTTGGACAATGTGAGACACGTGCGTAATCAAGCGCCAAGTTCAACTGCAAACACACACACACACCACTGCACAATTCTTGGTTTTGATTATGGCATGTAATCTCGATATCGGTTTCGGTATTTCGGTATTTCGGTATTCAATATTCAAATACCGAAATATCGATATTTCGATATTACAATACCGAATGTAGGTGTAACCTAGTCAAAATTTGATTTTAGGAACTATGGGGGTGTAACCTAGTCAAAAATTCAGCTGTGGGAACTTTGAGGGTGTAACCTAGTCAAAAATTCAGTTGTGGGAACTTTGAGGGTGTAACCTAGTCAAAAATTCAGTTGTGGGAACCTTGGGGGTGTAACCTAGTCAAAAATTCAGTTGTGGGAACTTTGGGGGTGTAACGAACTCAAAATTCGATTTTGGGAATTTTGGGGGTGTGACCAAACCGAAAATAAATTTTGGAACTTTAGGGGTGTGACCAAACCGAAAATAAATTTTGGAACTTTAGGGGTGTGACCAGTTCGAAATTCAATTTGGGAAAATTGTAGGGTGTACCCAAGTCAAAATTTAATTTTAGAAGCTTTAGGTAGAGCTATGGCCAAGTCAAAATTCGATATTATTATTTCTAAATCTTGAGTTGGTTACACCCCCAGTGTTTCAATTTTGACCTGGTTACACCCCAAAGTTTGAATTCCAAGGGGTTACGTTGATTCGAAAGTGTTATATTAATTAAATAAATTCATAAATTGCAAGATTTGAATTTCGGTATTGTAATATCGAAATATCGATATTTCGATATCTGAATACCGATAATTTCGGTATTTTAATTTCATTTCGAGATCTCGAAATATCGAGATTACATGCCCTAGTTTTGATTTGATGTGTGCGCTCATCAAAAGCCAAGCCTCAACCAATTGCAGCTGTGGTTATTTGATCTAGTGGTCGACAACGTTTTGGAAACGTTTGTATACTTTCAGCGGAAACGCCCTCTAGTTGCAAAAAAAACAACCTTGTACCTGAAAGTTCCGCTAGATAGCGTTGGCCTGCAAATTTAATAAAGATGGGGCAGTATGATACACGTCATCAAGTGAAATGCTTTGAGAACCTTTTGAGAACGGTTTGAGAACGTTTTGACACTTTCTGCGAAAAACGCCCTCTAGCGTCAAAAAGTGCAACGTGGTACCTGAAAGTGCCGTTAGGTGGCGTTGGCCGGTAATTTAAATAAATTTGGGGCTATGTGATACACGTCATCGAGTGAAGCGCTTGGTTCAAAAGGTAACATACACACACACAACTTTGCACAATTCTTGTTATCAATACTAAGAATAGCCGTGACTCACTGTGTTTGTCTGTCCAATTTGAACATGTGCGCTGGAACTTGGTTTAAACTTGGGGCAAAATGAGATACAACTCAATGTCATTGTAAATTTTTAAAAAATGAGCCAAACTTGGCTTTCAATGATTGGGACATTGTGAGATAAATCGTTTTTGCATAATCATGAACTATACGCCCTCTATTGATGCTATTATGCCATTTATCACGTCATCAATCATCAATTGTGTGTTTTAAAACAGTTAGCGGTTGGTTACACCCGCATCTCACATTACCCCAGAGCTGTTTAAAATCATGGCCAGCGCCACCTATCGGCGTTTTGAGGAACTATTTTCAGCCGGTAGAGGGCGTTCTACGCTGAAAGTGTCAGAAAGTTCACAAACGTTGACTAGCAGAACAACCGAGCACACAACTCCCCTAATTGAAATCGGGTTGAAGCTTCGAACATCGCTTAGAGTCGAGACTCGATCTGCGACATGGGCACGCCCCTTATACAAGGCGAGTTTTGACCCGGGCCCTTGCACCCACCTTATAGTCGGGAGTTGACCCTTGATCTGGGCACACCCCATATAGTCGGGAGTTGACTTTTCGATTGAGGATTAAGGATTAAAATTCTAAAACTTGGGATTAGAGATTGAGATTAAGGACTAATTAATCCACAATAATAATCCTGGATTGACCAATTTGTCTCTGAGGCTAAAAGCCCGCAATGCGGGCTTCGGAGACTACTTGTGATACTAAGATTAGCCGTGAGTGAGCTGTCCAATTTGAACGTGGGCGCAAGAACTTGGTTTGACCATGGGACAAAACGAGACCCATTTCGATGTTATTGTCATTCGATGTTTCATTTATTGTAAATTTAAAAAAAACGCCACACCTTGACTTTAAATGGTTGGGGTATTATGAGATTATCGATTTTTTCACGATATGAATTTCGTAGTGTGTGTCACCATTTGAACTTGTCGCTGGGATATCACATTACCCCAGACGGTCTTAACTTACCCAAAACCCGTCTAGACGGGTTACTCAACTTGTTTTTAAGAGTGCGTGAATATTTACCTGATTCTGCAGAAGAAACGATCCTTTCTCCCGCTCTCCGACGATCGCAACATTAGTCGCAATCAGGGGTAAAGTGTCCAGATCAATGTCGCGGTGGAGGCGTTGTGGCATCGCGTGGTGGCGATTGTGACCCTTCTGCCACCAAGTCGACGACATCCCGACACCCGTCCCGCAAATTATTTTGTGCAAGACTTTGTCCACCTTGGGGTTTCCAGTCATCGAATTATGGCCGGCTTCACTTTTTTTGGGTGGATAGGAGGAAAACAAAGTGAAAAATTTGTCGTATTTTTGAAAAATGCATTAAGTCGGGGACGCCATAAGTATCATCGGGCGGGTGAAGGAATTAAATGGTTTTAGTACTTAAAACTCGGAAGAACTAAAAGATTCTAAATTTAACATTAAGTTGTCTTGGGAAATGTCCAAAGATTTGGGAAGAAATGGTTCAACAGAAATGGTTCATTTAGTCGAGATACGGAAAATCGATCAAACTACTGCTAAAACAATCAAATATTATTTGATTATTTTACATTTTAAATGTCCCCAAGTATTCAAATCTATCTTATTCCAAATTCTAAATTCGCCTTTTCCCAACTTTTTTCCCGTCAAAAATCCGTCCTGTGTACGAGACTTTACAGAACTTACTGCATCATCCAGCCGGTCCTACTCTGCCCCAAGGCGAGAAGCAAGCAGCCCAACAATTTCACCGTATAAAATTGTGAAAAAATGAGCAAATATCCAAGATATCCGATCGCGATGGCTTCCAAGATGCGATAAATATTATGCAAATAAGAAGGTTTGAACATTCCCTCCTTTTCCAGTTCGAGATATAGCGTGTTAAAATCTTCCGTGAGGGCGCGGTGTCTTTTCAGCTTCTCGGTTCCAAGGACAACTAAATTTTAAAAATTTCAACTTGAAATTTTCAAGTAAAAACAGGCTTGGGGCTATCCATACATGTATCACGTCATCAAAAATTCTGGATTTTAGCATCCATCCATCAAATGTTAACATTAAGGGATAGAAAATTTTAACATGGGACAGATACGAAGACCTAAACCATCCACCCATTAAACTGATGACGTAATATCTGGATCTTCCCCTTCTGGTGGGTGACAAGTGTTTTTTTTAATTTTTATGAGCGGAGGGCGGACATAGATTTATTAGCATTTGTTTATTTGGTTCCTACCTTAGCTACTTTTGTCAAAAATACATTCATTTTGTCAATTTTTGAACGAAGAGGCTATTTTTTCTGTAAGAATAAATTGTTCTTCAAAAAATTCAGGGGATTTGATTTTAATTGTTGTGTCAGATGGATCAGAATTTTCAGGAACCCGATCCAATTTTGTTTTTGGATTTTCAAAAATATCCGATTCAGTCTGATCAGTTTTCGGATTGATCAAAATATCCGATCCGACCAAACCGAATGGTGCCACGTTTTATCCAAAAAACGGATATCCAACTCAAGTCTGATTTAAAACCACAAACTTTGCGAAAATACATACCTGGTTCTCATTTTTTATTTGGAAGCAAATATGTTTCAGGGATTTTTCGTAAACACATATCCGCCCTTTAACAATAAATCAATAACTATCCGTACCCTGCCTGTCGGTCGCTTCACGTTTCGGGAATGATTGCATCATGACCTTGACTTTTTTGGAGGAACGTTGGTGAAACTGCTGAACCGCGTGGGTGGCATCTTGTCCTATTTAATTTAATTAATTAATTACTCTAATTAATTGTTCTATTAATTACAGATTTAAATACTTACCATGTTCGACATAGAATTCAATAATTGAGCCGCCGGGATGCTGCTTAATAAAGTTTGTCACATCGTAGTAATCTCCTTCGTAGAGAATTTCCTTTACTGAGGAAGCACTCGTAATTTGTGGCGGATGTGCGTTGGGAGCCATATCTCTGTATGGTCTGTGCATTAAAATTAGACCTTTTTTGTGTGTTTCTTATGCATAAGTCTAATTATGAGATAAAAGAGTTAGTTTTCGGCAATTGAAAGATAATGCAAATCCTGATTTACATACACTCTTAGAAATAGGGTTACATGTAAACGTATACGACTCTACCGCCGTGGTTATGAGTTTGTCACCAACTGATTAAAAATTTATTTCCTCTGGTGAAAATTTAATACCAAGTCGGTGAAACTTTATAATTATTTAGTGACAATTGTAACTACTCGATGACAAATTTATGTATGTATGTATAACCACGGCGTTAGAGTCATATACGATTACTTTTTGATTATAATCGTAACCCTATTTCTAAGAGTGGACTAATTGATGTTATTAAATCGCTTATCTAAATATGTTCACGGTTAAAAATAATGTTACCATTTTGAAAAGGAAATTGAATTATGAATTAAATAAACTATGTTAAACACTGAGAGTAACGTGAACTTGTAAAGTTTACTCTGGATTTAGTATACTTTGCTGAATATCAAATTCAGGGGGCGTTAACTTTTCAAAAAGTCAGCATTATTTTTCAAGCCAAATTTTGTATTAAGTTGTGATTTATGGCTACTCACCTTGACTTAAAGTAGCGAAATTCTGTGTAAGACAAAAGCGTACACAGCTTACTGAATTCTGAATCTAGTAAACCGGAGTAAATCGTGAGAATAATTTATCATGTTCATATTACCATAGATTTTGTATAATGCGGAATTGAGCTGCCATTATTCGCAAGGGGGGCAGTACATATCTGCACTAGTTCGGTTACATTTGTTTATTCCACGAGGCACCGTGAGAAAGTTTACATAATGTAGTTTGTAATTAAGAACTTGACACGAGTAGATAAAAAAATTTATTTATTAGCAGATATTTATTTGACCGATAATCATGTTTTTATTTGCATATAAACATTGTATATACTTAAATGTATAGGGGCCGTTCATTAATTACGTAACGCGAAATTCCCGATTTGTATACACCCCCTCCCCCCTTCGCTTTACATAATTTAGGAACTAATATGCATATTTATGTCTGTGTGTACCCTTTCCCAGAAGAAATAAAAGACCCTGAGTTACTATTCTTAAAATATTTATAGTCGCAATTTCTTGAAAAATTTTCTGAGAGGTTATTTGGTTGCTAATTGAAAAATAAATAATCTGCCAGGTAACCTTTCAGAATTTTTGGCGACTAATAATACTGGATGAACAGTAGTTCAGGTCCATTAATTTCTAGCTTAGGGGGATTAATATATTTTATCAACTGGAGTATGTATTATAGTGTTTATTTCTTCTTTGTTGTGAATACACCGTAGAAAACGCACATAACGAAGTAGCTTCAGTCTCATTTCACCCCGACCAGCGGGGAAACACTTAATTTCACCGTACCGTAGCTTAAATTTCAGGAAGAATCTCAGTTTCCCCCAGATTAAGTTCCCCATTTTCCCCTAGTCTGATTCACCCAAAAAGATTACAGGATCCTCCCCCTGGGGACCATTCATATGCAAAAACGACTCTGCAAGCAGGTCTCAACTATTTATCTCGCTGCCTTCCTGCAGACAGACAAACAACCGGACGGACGGACAAAGTCTTCACACCAAGCAGCTTAATAGTTTAAACTTATTTCATGTACATAGGTCATAAATCAACTCATTACATTTGCATATTCTCAAGAAATCCAGGTGTATGTATACCACGTGGGTGTACTTATGACACTGGCCGCAGAAATTAGCATCTAGTTTCGCAGAGTTGCGAAACCGTGCGAAACTTTGCCTCAATATAGTTCCAATCAGATTACCACAGATTCACAACTAGATGTTTAGTTTCGTACTGGAAATTCCATAATTTTTACATGCGCAGTATTACAAAAAACGTATCAAAAAAGAATCTAAATTTTATTTCCATACTTGAATCAGAACTTATGTATTTTATTAATTAATATTTTTTTCCTGCTTTACACAAATACGTTAATTGCTTCCACGTGTACATTGCGAAACATTATGTGGATGCAAATATTACCCTTGCAAATTTATGTATGCGTTGTATGGAAAAATGTCAAAAATATAAATCAATTTGAATGCGAGTTATCTACAAACACAGATTTGATAACTATACATACATAAATATGTTTATTAATTATGTTTTAAATATTTGTACCCCGTTTTATTTCACTTTCTTAAACTTGGTACTTAAATATCGTTGATAAAAGAAGTTGAGGAACAATCCAAAGTACGAGAAGTAAATGACGAAGACGACGCCAATATTGGACCACGGTCGGTCACACTCGCCTCCAGAAACTGAAGTATAAGGACATATTTTTGATACATACATAATTAATTAATTCAACTAATTTTATATATACATTTACACTCTAAAAAATAGTGCTATGGTTTCGAAAAATACTTAAGTACTCTGAATTAAATACTATAAGCAAACTAAACTAAATCTAGAGTAACGCAAACTTAATCAAAAGCGATATTTGCTTAACAGGTCAGGCCACGTTTTAAGTATTCGCGAATTATGTAGGCGACCGCCTAGGGAGCAAATTTTTTGGGGGTGCGGGTGGGCCCGTATACACCAGATAAAACCAACTTTGATTGAGTTCTATAATTTATCATGCCAAACACAATATAAAAAATTGGTAAAAAGTACTCATTTTTTCAAAAGAGTACAAATATTTAATTAAATTTATTTCCCAATTGCTGATTTTTTTCTACTGCAATTAGTCCAAAAGACAAATTTGTGCACGATTATGTAATCAGAAGGGGAGAAAATTGGGGGCGCCGAATATACATACATTAGGGCGCCATTGTCTTTTGCTAGGGCGCCACATTGAATTGAACGGGGCCTGACTCAGGTTTTAGTACAGGTTATTTACGTAAGTTGGAAATTTCAGATTTAATTTTTCTAAAGGGCATATAACATTATTTTTAAGAGATCACATTCATTTTCATATTATTTTCAACTTACGAATTACGTATGAAGTGTAGACGCTAATGAAGATCCCGGCAAACATTTGTGCAATCTGGATAATCGTGAGCGCCATGGGGAGATAAGTTCCCAATTTTATGTTTGCCGACTGCCGAATTTAGAAACAAAAAAAGTTACGTATTTACCTGACTTATAAACAATAAATCCAATTGTGTTGAAATTTGAATTTCAGAAATTCTTGCCAGTTTTTCCAATTCATTAAAATTGCAAACTCTTTCAGATTTTTAAATCTTCAAAAAATATTATACGCAGATTTTTCATAAATCAAGAATAAGAATAAATCAAGAATCACATGTAAATCAAGTCATTCCGAAGAGAAATGTTTTCGAAGTTTTGAATTCGCGCAAAAATTCGAAAATTTATAAAATTTTTTAAAAATCGAGGGTTTGACTGGAAAATAGTTACAAATTCGCGTCCCCGATCTCATCAGCGCATTATGAAAAATGTAAAAATGTAAAAATACGGGTATGCTTATTTTGTGTGGTAAACAAAAGAAAATTAGTCCCACTGAGATCTGAGTTTTACATACACGTAAAAGGCTTGCATTGTAAGTTATTTTTTAGAGTGTATTTAGAACTAACCCTGAGCCCGTAATAAAAATACATTATGGAGTGAACGAATGCATTTAGTGCGAACGAGTAGCGTGCCACGGGGTCAAACGTGCTCCAAAGGAACCAGCAGTACATACAAACTGTCGCGTGGTGGTACCTTTTAATAAAGAAATGTACCTATCTAAGAAATTTAAAACATCTTTAAAACAAGAAATTTACCAAAATTATAAGTATTCGTACCAATGGAGAAATATAAGTTTTTGTTTCCTCAAAATGACGAAGACTGTATCACCTAAAATAAAATAAAATAATATGTAAATGATTTTTCAAAAAAAGTATGGCATAGTTTAACTGTTTAATTACCAAATTCAACAATTTTGAATATGATGAAAAGCAAGGACCAAAAGTACGTGGCATGATTGGATTCTTCCCTAAAATACGTTACAAATTAATGACTGGTTAGGTTAGAAGGCGTACACTCTTATAAAATATATTAGCCTTTGGCAAATTTACATATGTATGTCTAAGAAAATTGCGAAATTTGGGAAAAAATTAGAAAAACTCATATTTTTGAAACCTTTCATTGCCAACGAAAATATAACCCTTTGTCATGATTTTAGTCACAAATTGTGAAAATCCGCCCAGGATTTCAAAAGTTGTGGCGGGTTTAAAATTAAAAACATTCAAATTTGGCGAATGTGGCACCACGCTTCGGCGCCAAATATATATAAGTTTGACACGGAAATATGTATGAATGGATCCTTCATCTTGGGTCCCAGTAGATTAAAAAAAACATGGTGGCTACCTGGACACCACACCTCGGAAGTATCCCTTGTAAGATAAAACAAAATTGCAGAAATGATTTTGAAAAATTTTTAATCCTGTATTTTTTTATAATTTCACTCACTGTCGACGCGCAACCCCAGCTTTCTTTAAATTAAATTTACTCACAATTTGCAAAACGACTTCAAAATCCCGCTCGTCCCAATGGCATCAATAATTTCAGGCAGAACTCTAAAAAACGAAATTCCCGAGAATATCGCTAACCCAAAATTCCACCCGATCAGAGCCCTCTTCAACTTGAATGGGGCCCTATTTTCCATGAAACGCGCCCCCACCGCGAGCGCGACCATGTAGACGAAAGCCGCGTAAATTCCCAACTGCCAATTACACCAACCCCAGAGTCTCCACGAGTTCGGAAGATTTTCAAAATTGTAAACCTTCATGTACCCAGGATTTCGGTTTAGCGTCACGTTTGACATCCGCGACGTGTCACAAATTAACGACATTTTGCACGTTGTTAGAATAAAAATCGTTTTTTGTTTTGTTTTTAATTTCAAAATGAAAAAAAATCAAGTTTTGATTTGGTATAAGTTGTATCGAAGCGATACCCCAGTAAACCTGTCCACAGTAGAAATTCTATTAATGAGCTAATACTAATGCATGTAGGATACCGTGAGACCCAACTTGAGTATGGCCAACCAGTGGCCGCGGAAGGTGAGGGGGGACATAAGGGACATTACCATTGTGGTATGGGAGACTGAGGAACTAATTAATTTAAACAAAATACATATTTTGTTAATTTCTGGAAGAAGAATGTACCCCAGTCTCAGCCGCCAATGATGGCCATGTGTGCAAGGAAAACACATACAAGGAAAAAATAATGAGTTTGACTCCTCCTTTAATCTCGTTAATAATCTTAACACGTGGGTTTAACGGAGCATTGGAACTTTCCACGTGCAATTGGTTTTTGCATATGTATTATGTATATTTGTATATATGCGTATGTAAATATGCAGTTTTCTGGACCTGGTTTCCAGGCTATTAGGGCTTCGCTCCTGAACTAAAACTTTGAACCGGTTTGCTGCACAAATTTGGCCCTATTTTGTGTTCAAAAATTTAGTCCAGTAAAGGAAACAATGTTGAAGTACATACATAGGTATGTACACACTTATGCAGAATTCTAAGCCAAGTCCCGTTTTATATATGTACATAAATACATAATTTCTTCTTTTTTGTGAATTACTCTGGTATCTACAATACATATGTTCACACATCTCTCATGCAAAATTTTTAAGACCGAAATTGCACAAATTCAAGAAATCCGGCACGTGCAAATTAAATACGCTGGTTCAAAATTCCAAAAGGAATTGAAGAATTTGCAAAACCGTGGGAAAATTTACTTTCAATTTGTTGCGTTAATTGTATGCATAATGTTTTAATTACAATCAGATTACGCCGGATTTATAACTAGTTTCGTACATTTATTGTGTTTCGTAATTTGTTTACTCCGTTTACGTGCAATACATAAACTTATTAAATTATCTAGAATCTGAAATTTATTTACATGCTGCAGTAAGTTTCAGTTCCTGGCAGGGACTAAAACTTATGTAAGTTGTTGTTAATCACAAAGGTTTAAATTTTTTTATTAACTTTACATAATTACGTTATCTCCTACCACGTGGATGGATATTTTCATATTGCGAAACATTGTATGGACACAATTGTCCTTGGAAACTTGTGCATAAATAGTAAATATTTTGCGCATCAGGTATTTAGGGTGCGTCCATATATTACTTCATAGGCCTATTTTTCGACCACACATCCACCCACCCTTTCCATACTCTACGCATGTTAAGCTTACATATTTATATAACTCGAATAAGGTACGAAGGCCTTCTAATATGTGTCACTCACGCACCTTTTTGACGACCTAATATATGAACGTTCCCCTTGCTTTCTGTATTGTCTGATATTTGCTTCGGATCAAGATATCACATTTAGATTTAAACCATGAGGAATTTATTGTGGTTGATTTTTACCTTATAAAAAATGTAAGTTTATTATAAATCAAGTCATACCTAAAGGACGGACAAGGTTTTCTTATAAAGTGGATAAAACCACTAAATAATACATTTTAACTGGGATATTTACATATGTGAGTTGATTTTTTTAGGAAATGTTTTTACAAAATTTTTTGAAGTTCATAATTCTTTGTTTTGCTTATTCAACCTTCTTTGTCTTCGTGTTTAAAAAGTATCGATGGTAAAAGAAGTTGAGGAACAATGCAAAGTAGGAGAAATACATGGCGAGCGCAACAATAATATTGGACCACGGTCGGTCACAGTCCCCTCCAGAAACTGCGGAATAACAAACACACTTTTCATTAATAGAAATTTACGCAATTAAAATAATGCTATGAACTCTAAAAAATGATGTCACCCTTTCAAAAAGTAAATGAACTTTGAATTCAATAACTTAAGCAAACCATACTAAATTCAAGGTAACGTTGTTTTGATAAAGAGTAAACTTTATTATTTTTTTAGAATTTTCAGTTCATTTACTTTTGAAAAGGGTAGAATGATTTTTAAGTGTGTAATTTAAATAGATTTTACAAACTTACGAATTACACGCGCAGTATACAAGCTAATGAAAACCCCTGCAAACATTTGTGCAATCTGTATCACCGTAATGGTCATGGGGAGATAGCTCGGGAGCCATTTTACGTGGACAGACTGTTAAAATAAATATAAAAATTAAAAAAAAATGTCACTTTTTCATTCAAATACACCCTAAGAAAACTGACATAAAACTTTTATGAGTTAGAGAGTATGACTCATGACTTGAGTAAATTTTACTTATTTTTATTTAGAGCGTATTTACATACAGGGTGTTTAAATGTCAGGTTACAATGGAAACATTTTCAATGGGAAAAATTATTTCTAAATTTCCATTAGTTACGGATTTGTGATTGAGATTTTTATTAATTTTTAGCAAAACTTATGGAACACTGATGATAAAATTCTTAAAATATTGAATTTCAGAAGCAAAAGTTCTGTAGGGTTACTCCACCAGTTATGGTAATGGACCTGATGTCGAAAATCGATTTTTTTGAAATCCTTCAAGTATGTGATAGAGGACCTTAAACTATGCAGAAAAATCATTTCCCCCGAATTTTTGAGGTTTCAATGTGGCTGCTAGGAGGCGGTGTGGCTTCCGTTGAGATACCACCTTTTCGCAGCCGCTATTCCACGCAGGGACTCCAAATTTCATACCAAGCTACCATTGGCCAATACAATTGCGGATCTTTTTCTCTTTTTTGCAAATTTGGTCATGGTGACCGTTTTTACGTCAACATGTGCGTTATGTCGAATTTTTTCGTAAATCGTCTCACATAACCCCACAAATGGGGCATCGTTAGATAGGTATAGGCAAGAGGATTCAGAATATATATACTTTGTCCGGCATATAGCTGCCCCCTGACCTTCCAGAAGCAGTATAATGAGAATTTTCATTGCTTCCAGATTTTCACACTGTAGCAGATTGGCGAGCTAACATAGAAAGAGATAGGACAAACTCAAAAATATTTGTCAGCTTCTGAAAGACTAGGGAGTGGTCGTACACCCTACAAAGTATATATATTCTTAATCCTCTTGCCGAGACCTTTCCAACGATACCCTAGTTATGGGGTTATATGAGACTTTGGCTTTTCAGAGAAATTTGACGTGTTGTGAATCTTGACCTAAAAACGGTCACCGTCACCTAATTTCCAAAAAAAAGAAAAAAAGACCCGCAATTGTATTGGCCCATGGTAGCTTGATGTGAAATTTGGAGTCCCTGCGTGGAATAGCGGCTACGAAAAGGTGGTATCTCAACGGAAGCCACACCCCCTCCTAGCAGCCAAATTGAAACCTGAAAAATTCGGGGAAAATGATTTTTCTGCATATTTTAAGATCTTCTATCACATACTTGAAGGATTTCAAAAAAATCGATATTTGACATCAGGTCCATTACCATAACTCATAGAGTAACCCTGTAACTAATGGAGACTTGCGTATTTTTCCTATTGAAAAATTTTCCATTGTAACCTGACATTAAAACCACCCTGTATTTGTCTCCACCAGGTTTTCAGCAGTGCTTAACTAACCCTGAGCCCATAATAGGAGTACATTATGGAGTGCACGAAGGCGTTAATGGCGAAAAAGTAGCGTCCCACGGGGTCATAAGTGCTCCACAGGAACCAGCCATAAATACAAACCGTCACGTGGTGATACCTTGAAAACCAAAAAGAAATTTACCAAAATTATGTAAATATATATTTGTACGTACCAATGGAGGAAGATAAGTTTCTGTTTTCTCAAAATGATGAAGGCTGTGTCACCTGGAATAAAATAATTTGTGATTTTTCAAAAATAAACAATTACCAAATTTATGTCAAAGTTTATGGTAATTTACCAAATTCAATGATTTTGAAAACGGCGAACATTAAGGCCCAAAAGTACGTGGCGTGATTGGCTTCTTCCCTGGAATAGAGGAAGAGCAAACGTCTAAAGTCTTTAAATATATAGGTATTTATGAATACACTCTTAACAACAATGTATTTAACCCTTTTCAAGAGGGTAATATTTAGACATTATTTGTAAGAATGTATGATTAATTGCTTCAAAATGCATGAAGAGATTACGAAAATCAGAAATTTAATAAATTTCTAAATTTAGATTGTATTTTTTATCACAACATTTCTATATTATCACAATTTCCCACACATTTCTTATCAGTGTCGACAGACAACGCCACTTTTTTTTAGAAATTAATACTTACAATTTGCAAAACGATTTCAAAACTCCACTTGTCCCAATGGCGTTTAAAATTTCAGGCAAAACCCTAAAAAACGAGACTCCCGAGAATAACGCGAGGCCAAAATTCCACCCGATCAGTGCCCCCTTCAACTTGAATGGGGCCCTATTTTCCATGAAACGCGCCCCCACCGCGAGCGCGACCATGTAGACGAAAGCCGCGTAAATTCCCAACTGCCAATTACACCAGCCCCAGAGTCTCCACGAGTCCGGAAACTTTTCAAAATTATAGATCTCCATGTAACCAGGATTCGAATTTAGTGTAACGTTCGACATTCGCCCCGTGTCACACATTAGCGACATTTTTCAGCTAGTTTGGAGTTTTGTAAATTTCCAAAAACCAAAATAAAAATAATCAATTTTGATTTTGTATCATTTATATCGAAGCGATGCACCAGTAATCCTGTCCAGAGTAGAAATAATATTAATGAGCTATTATGTACTTATGCATGTAGGATATGGTGAGATCCAACCTTGATAATTAGTATGTATCAGTGGCGTCGGATGGTGTGGGGGACATCACCATTCTGGGATAAGGATTTACATATTAACATGAGTATGTAAGATAAAGTATTTCTGAACTTCTTAATGTCCCCCTGTTTCCGCTGCCAATGATGGCCACGTGTGCACCTTTATAAAATATTATGAGTTTGACTCCTTCCGTAATCTCGTAAACAATCGCGACGCGTGGGTTTAACGCAGCATTGCAACTTTCCACACACGCTCGGTACACGTGTATAAATAAATAAGCAGTCATCTGGATTGAGCAAGCAGGATAGTTAAATAAGTCAAATTGTAACCTATTTCCTGCACAAATTTGACCTAAATTTGTGCACAAAAGATGAGCCCAATAAAAGCAAAAATGCAGATGGACATATTCAAAGAAGTATCTACCAACCGCTCTATGTATCTATGTATGTATGTACATACAGATAAATACATCATTACCATACCACGGTTAAGTATTTATTATCAATCCTACTCTTGCTGTAGCTCAGCACGAGTTATAAACGATTGATAAAAAAACGGGGTATGATCATTACACGTGTAATTACATGGGTTTTCCAACTTTGTAAAATTTCGCAATAAGAACGCAACCAATGTTCTACCCGGATTTATTTTTCGCCATCTCAGTCTCACTTCTTTAGAAACATCATTTACATGCTGCCCAGATGCGGAAATTTATGGGCGCCACAAATTCGCTCAAACTCCCGGAAACTTTGCCTTACTCCTTACTTAGCACCTCGTTTTTTTGCGAATTTGTAGGCGAATTTGTATAGCTTGTTGAAATTTTCGGATCTGTCAAAGTCCTGTGCTAAATGTTGTTTCTTAAGAGGGTGCCTCTCAATCTGCGATTAATCTGGGTTGAACATGGTTTGCGTCCCCATTTTCGGTGTACTTTCCTAATGAAAATGTGTCTTCATACATATTTTACTTGGATATTTTTCACTCATTTTACTCACGCGTAAATCCTTATCAAATAAAATCTGGGATTTACATACTCGAACTTGAACTTGTGAGAGTATAAAAGTATAATTTTTTTCTTAACTTACATACATACACATTAATATTCAGTAAATACATGTAGATATTGTGAAACATAATGAACACAATTACTTTTTATACAAGTTGTGTATCTCATTCCGTAAGCAGAACTTTATTATCGGGTAATTTTACTTACGACGTCTTTATGTATGTACTTTCTATTCGCACACAGTTGAACTTTTACAGAAATTGGGGACTCTGAGAAACAACTGTCGTTCTCAAATTCCCTCAAATTATGGTAATGGGGGACTTTGAGACTGACAGTGCCGTTTCTCAGAATCCTTACTTTCTGTAAAGGTTCAACTGTGTGCAAATTGAGATTATGTATCTATATACTTCTGATTTAACACTTAATTTCAATGAACTTAATACAAAAGGCGTTAGGACATGGTTTTGACGAATTCATACCTTAATTGCGGGATGGTTTATAGTCGTAGAGATTTCTAACTTTTTTTATGTGAAAGCCCATGTCTCAAACTATAGGTAAGCATATCTAGCTTCCGATTTTGTGTACTCTGCGAAATGAGGCAAGGTCAAATTTGGAGAGGTGTCCTTTTTTAGTTTTCCAAACCAGTGTACTTATAAAATGGCGTTGAACAAGATATTTTTTTCTGAGGTCCTGATGCAAAAATCGTCTTTGCGACTATTATTAAGGGACTTAGCATGCTTTTCACTATATAAAACCACGTTTGCCTTATGTTTATCTTTTAAGTCCGTTTTGCAGTCTAATTTCATACTTGTCCTAATGGAATGCGCTCTTTAACGCAACTCTTCCACTTTCAAGGCCCCCACATTTTACGACTTTTATGCTAAAAATCCCTAACGTGGTTTTTATCCAAGGTACATATAGTATATTGCACTGTAAGTACTTTTGACAAAATTTTGATAAGTGGTTACACACCACGGACTGAGTTTTCATCAGACCTTGTAAAATTATTGGAAAAGTTCCCGTCGTTTTCGATGTCGAACTTCAGAAATAATTTAACTAACCAAAACGCAATAATTTTATTATTTTGTCACTTGCACCTTGTAGATAAAATAGTTCTGCAGTAAGGGACACAAAAAGATTAGTAAAATTTATTTTCGAAAAAAATTGACCATTAATTTTCCAAATAAGTTCACGAGTTTTTAGGATTCCGCGACAGCTGATTAGCTAGGGTCGTTCTCCAGAACTGTTTACACAAAATCTTCACTGTTTAATTTAATATTATTTGGGACACTTAGAGCTTTGCCCTCAATCTTCATTTGACCGAGTGGGTCCGCTTTCAAGGTCAGCAGGTCAATTTTCCTGTGCACGGTCCGATTTATCAATTTTCATGAAAAAGTATCAGCGACGATGGAGGCCCAACGTTATGTACACTCTAAATAAAAATGAGTAAAATTTACTCAAGGTTGGGTAAAAAAGAGGATGACACAACTAAAAGGTAAAATTTACCCAACATTGGGTAAATTTTGCACAACGTTGGACAAATTTTACCCTCTAGTTGTGTCATCCTCTTTTTTACCCAACCTTGGGTAAATTTTACTCATTTTTATTTAGAGTGTAATTGATGTAGATTCTTTTATTATTACATGCTATGATTATCTAGGGTTGTAATATTAACAATCATTCACCTCTGACCTCATAGGTTATCATGCTATATGAGAAATTCAGTTTGGAAAGTGTTTTTTTGGCTCCTTCCAACTCTGGGGGCACTGGAGGGGGCATTTATAAAGCTATCGGCCTAAAATTTTAAATATATCTTTTTGAGAGTATTATCTTGCAACTGACCAAAAATCAGTTCAAAATTCAACTCCCCGCCAGAGATATTCACCCGCAAATTCGTCAAAACCATGTCCTAACGCCTTTTGTAAATCTTTCAGGGGTTTGCAAACAAATATAAAGAATAAAAATCTTATGCAAAACACACTTGACGTCGCTACTGAAAAATTTGAATACTTTTATTCACGAAAAAAATACTTATATTTATTTACCGTGTAATGACCTGGTATATTTACATTCCACGTGTACATTATACTTCATATATGCTCTTAATAGGTGTGCATTAATTTACATAAATAATAGATTAATTTTGCGTAACATCATTTTTTTAATTCGCTGGAAATGCATACTTTTTGGTTTTATTCGACCTTTTTAGCCGTTTTGTTTAAAAAGTATCGCTAATAAAAAAAAGTTGAGGAACAATCCAAAGTAGGAGAAGCACATGACGAATGCAGCAACAATATTGGACCATCGTCTGTCACAATCGCCTCCAGTGACTCAGTAAAAAGAGACATTTTTGATCCATACTTAATCTTATATACTAACACTCTAAAAAATCATGTTACCCATTCTAAAAGTAAGTGTGCTCTGAATTAAGTAAACTATACTTAATCCAGAGAAAAGTTAACTCTGGTTTTCGTACAGTTTATTTATTTAAGTAAGAATTTTCAGAGTGAATTGATTTCTCGAAAGGGTAACATTATTTTTAAGAGTGTTTGTACAAATTTTGATTTTATCAACTTACGAATTACGTATGAAGTGTAGACGCTGATGAAAATCCCGGCAAACATTTGTGCAATCTGTATCATGGTGATCGTCATGGGGAGATGCTTCCCTAATTTTATGTTTGGTGACTGCCGAATTTAGAATAAACCAAAAAGTTGCATACATACATATTTCCACAAAAATTTAAATTTCAATACCCTCTAAATCATTTGGAGATACATTGTCACCCGCGGAGGGAGTAGTTTCGGGGTACTGATTCAAGAGACGTTCTGATGTAATACATCCGCAAACGACAAATTATTTCTTAGGGGTACAACTAACCCTGAGCCCATAGTAGGAATACATTATGGAGTGCACGAAGGCGTTAATGGCGAAAAGTAGCGTCCCGCGGGGTCATACGTGCTCCAGAGGAACCAACAGTAAATGCAAACTGTCACGTGGTGGTACCTTTTCAAAAAGTCAGTATTCACTATTCATAAGACATTCATTAAAATTATGTACTTATGTATTCACACCAATGGAGGAATATAAGTTTCTGTTTCCGCAAAATTATGAAAGCTGTATCACCTGGAATAAAATAAAATATGTAATATGTAAATAATTTAGATACAAAGATTAATTGATTTATTACCAAATTCAATAATTTTGAATCCGACGAAAAGCAAGGCCCAGAAGTACGTAGAATAATTGGCGTTTTCCCTGGAATAAGGTAAAAATTAATGCCAAAGGTTAGTTTATCCTCTAAAATGAATGTTACTCCACCTTTTCTAAATTAAATTTACTCACAATTTACAAAATCATTTCAAAACTCCACTCGTTCCAATGGCATTTATAATTTCGGGCAGAACTCTAAAAAACGAAATTCCCGAGAATAGCGCAAGGCCAAAATTCCACCCGATCAGAGCCCCCTTCAACTTGAATGGGGCCCTATTTTCCATGAAACGCGCCCCCACCACGAGCACCACCATGTAGACGAAAGCCGTGTAAATTCCCAACTGCCAATTACACCAGCCCCAGATTCTCCACGAGTTCGGAAACTTTTCAAAATTGTATACTTCCATGTAAGAAGGATTTGAATTTAGCGTGACGTTTGACATTCGCGTCGTGTCACAAGTTATGGACATTTCAGAAATTTTTTGGAAAAATACAGTTTTTTATATTTAACAAAAATCACATTAACCGAAATTAAGGGTCAAATTAAGTATCCAAATATACAGTTTAGGTCCGTTAATTATATGCAAATTAACAAGACAAAACTTTAATGAACTAATATTTAAATCTGACCAAACGGTACTGTGAAACCTCACCCGATCCTAGTTATTTAAATACTTTTATAACATCAGGAAAATATATTCACGTCGAATG